TCCTCCTCCTCCTCCTTCTTCTCCTCCTTCTCCTCCTCCTCCTCCTAATTTTCCACAAGCAGTGCGTTCAGATGAAAAGAAGCCCAAAGCAGAGGTAGCCAGGGTGGATCATCTGCATGTGATTTAGTGGTGCATTAAGTCACTGCGGGGAATTTAGCGGTGAAAGAAAAAAAGGAAAAAATATAAACGCAGCCAGGAAAAATGTTTCGAGGATAAATGATGGGAGAATCCAAGATAGATTGAAAGTATGGGGGTGGGGTGGGGGTGGGGCTTTAAAATGACATGGAAAACTTTTCTTTCCACTGAATCCTGCTTCTAAAGACGGTTCCCATTTTCCACCACCACCCCCTTACCTCCCAGTCTCTCTCCTACAACACAAACCCAAAGCACGTCAGAGTGGAAAACCCACTGTTTTGGATCGATTTGGGTTCCTTCTTTCCAAACTGTCTCCAAGCTCTCATTCTTTTCTGGACTAGCAACAGGCTTTTCTAGTTTCTCTTGAGTAATCCAGTTATCCACATGCACATGCCTGTTAGGCATTCCCCTTGCTTCAGGCGTGGTTGCTCCCGAGAAAACCAATTGCTCAGAAAAGGTGGTGGTGAATTCTGCCTTGGGGCAGTGCTGAGGTCCACCTCGGAAACCAAGCTGAGTGGACTCACATGGCAATTGTCACGTGCATCCGATTTCACCTGCATTTTTTAACACGATTGAATACTTAGCAGTTAAACGGTTGGGGGAACGTTATGTTTTATCTTTAAAAGAAGAACAAAATCAATAGCTTCATTGGATTTTCTTTTTCTAACCTCCCTCTTGAACCAGCAAGGTCAAAGTTAAAGAGACAAGTTCACTTCAATCACCTTTACTAAAACTTTCCACTTGGGGTAGTCTGTATCTTACTTACTCAAGAGGAATTGGGCTTTACTTATGGAATTCCGTTTTCTGAGTGGGAGCTTATATACACTTGGATGAATTACTATGATTGCGTAATAGTCAACAATATGTAATTCACCTTACTTGTTCCTCATTTGGAATATTTTTATTTTTATTCAATATGCCTAGAGAGAATTTATCGTAAAATTGTTTAAAGGGCAGGACATGAATTTATATTACCCATGGCCTTGTTGGATGAATGTTGGTGGCCTGCTAATGGTGAAGTTGGCCATTCAAACCGTCCAGCTGCACAGAAGGAGACATGAATGGTACTCTCTGCTCTTGTAAAGATGGACAGATGTGGAAAACCCATACAGGGTTACTGAGTCAGATTCTATTAAATGACACCGAGTTTTCATGCTGTAATTCCAAAAAGGTACAACTCTATGGAATGGATAAAGTGTTCATAATATAAATTTATTCTTTTTTTAAAGGAGAATAGTGAAAAGGAAGGAATAGAGGAACTAAAAGTGCTTTTTGTTTCATTATATCTTTAGAGTGGCAAATGGATACAACTTCAATTGGCTGAGGCACAACCCAATATTCTTGAAATTGGTAGCAGTCAAGATGAAACCAAAAAACTTCTGCACGATCATGAACTTCTTTTGGCCAAGCTCAAGGTAAGTGATTAAGTTGTGAGGTGGATACAAAAGTAATAAGGAATTAAAACTTCTCCTACGTTTCCTCTTTATTTTAATATGGAACCAGATAGATAATGAGCAAACACAAGCCTTTGAGAGACTTAACAAGATTTTTTTTAGCTTTCCCTAATGTGATAGAAAATATGGAGTACTAATATTTTCATTGTGAAGAAATATACATATTTCCTGGCTGCCCCAGTTAAAAAATAACAACCAACCATAACTTTTTTATTTCATGAATTATACTCAAATAATCACAACAGATCTACATTTTTAATTGCTAATGATCCTTGCTGCCAAAAATAGTTTAGAAGGGCATGTTCCCCATTAAACTATTGAAACTACCTGATTTTGTGCTTAATATTTAGAATTCTTGAAACCATTGAACTTCACTTCCAAAACAAAAATTCAAAGATACCATTCTTAAGAACATTCCAGACAGCTATGGTAGAGCATGAAGACCCCGTGGGTTCCCTTCTGAGCACATAACCCCAGGATGCAGCCACATTGTGAGTAATAACCCTCAGAGGCAAATGCATGTCCTCGCTCAGATGAAATTTGAAAAAACAAACAAACCTTGGAGAACTGTGATGACTAGAAAGTTCTGCATTTTCAGATTTTCATATGACTTACCACCTAAACTGGAGTTAACATTTGCTTTCTAAGTATTAGACTGCGAACTGCAAGGTCAGCACTCCTCGGGAGAAAGATAAAGCTGTCTAGGATTGCTGAGTTAGAATTGACGGCAAAGCTCTGGTGGTGCTGTCAGGGAAGCACTGGACTGCTAACTGCAAGATCAGTGGCTCAAAACTGGAGAAAGATGAGGCTCTCTGCTTTCATATAGATTTACAGCGTCTATAGCAAAGTATGGTGAAGAAATCAGATGGCATCCAGCTCTCAGAAAGAAGAGCAGCTCGGGTTTTAAAGGCTTGTCTTAAAGTCAGCAGCCATCTAAGTAAATTGCCTGCTAAGTTCACATAGAATAAGCAAACCCACCTATGCTTTCCAAGGAACGTAAATAGTAAAATTCAAGACCAGAGGATGAAACTGTTTAGGACTTAAAGTCAGAGCACTCAGTTTGCAGAAGGCTATGGCGGATGGTGAAAGCCCCAAATCTGTTTGGTGGGTCCCCAAGTGGATTAAGTCTCCAGTGAGCCTCCTCTGACCATTAACCAGGGATGTGGATAGCCTTGCTGTCAGACGGAGTGCATTAGAAAGTGGATTAATGCAAATGTAGCTAGGCTAAAATTTAACACTTTATCATTTGCTCTCCCTTTCGACCCATTTTAAATTAGTTCTAGCTTTTATATTTTCTGTTTTCTTTTGGAGTGCTGTTTTTCTGGGTTTTATATTGTTGTTGTTGGGTTCCAGGGGAATTGAATGTTTTTCTTTACATGAATTCCAGGACTGGGTAAAATCTATAGCGATAGTAACGGGATGAATAGTTTCTTAAGGTTATCGCAGGGGAGGTTGGGGGAAATTGGGAACTAATAATAGTGAGTACAAGAATGAAGATGTGGTTCAAAATTTGATTGTGGTGATAATTGTCCAAATCTTTTTATTATTTTTACATCATTGAATTGAATGATATATGAACTATATGTCAATTAAACTGTTTTTAAAAACCCTATATAGGGCTGCTAGGGATTAGAATCAACTTATTGGCAGTGAATACGGTTGGTTTGGGATTCTAGCCCAAGAAGCAGATCTGATCCATACCCAGTATATATGGACAAGGGTAAAAGTAACTGAGTATCAGAGAGGTTAAAGAAATAATTAATACTGAAGCTTGTTCTCTTTTAAATAGCTTCTTGCTTAGGACCCAGGGCTGTCTTGTAAGGCGCAGGCCCGCCTTCCTTATTTCATCTGCTCTATTGTGCTTCATGCATGTGTGAAATTGAGGGCGTGTGGCAATCTTACGTTGAGCAAGTCTGTTGGGTCTATATGCTCACTTCACGTCTCTGTGTCACTTTTGGGGAAATTCTCACAATAATTCAAACTTTTTCATGATGCTATTGCACATTTAATAGACTACCGAAAAAAAAACAAAAGCTCGCTGCCATAAGTCAGTTCTGACTCACAGTAGCCCTATAAGACAGAGTGGAACTCTCCTGAGGGGTTCTGAGATTGTAAATCTTTAACTCTCCCTCAGAGCAGCTGATGGGTTTGAACTGGCAATCTTGTGGGCAGCAGTCAAGCTCCTTAATAAACTACAGTATCATTTTATTGGTTTTCCAATGTGTATAAAAGTTGTTTACACTATAATATATTATAGACTACAGTGAAAACAGGCCTTTAACACAATCCTCCTTAATGCACATCTTTCATACGCCCACCCCACTGCTGCCATCAACCCAACCGTGCAGCCAAGAACGTTGATGTCATAATATCGTCCTCTCTAGATAAAGGATCCCAAGGCTTGATAAAGAAATGATCAAGGCCCCAAGGCCTGTTTCAGCTTTACCAATAAAAGAATTTGAACAATAAAATAATTCTACCTTGCAAATGGATAGATTATTAATTCAATCAAATTTACCAGCTGTTATGCTCTTAGGTAGGCACCACTTGAAAGTGTGGCAGAAAATTGTTTGATCAGACTTAGCTTTAATATGAGCTTTGTGAAGGATAAGGGCATTCATAATTCAATAAGCCAATGATATTTAATATTTCATATTCAGCCCAGCCCTTTTCCTGTGCACAGGGAGTTGCAATTTTGTTCTAATTAGAAAGAAGGCTGCTCTCTAAGGAGTGCAGAAAGGGTTAATGCTCAGTGCCTCAGCCACTTGGACTGGGGCAAAGCCATTAGTCTCTCTGGTATCAGGTTCTTAATTTGAGGACTTATGATAATAATGGTTACCCTCTCATTCCTAATTACAAATTTTGGCGGATAAGTGTGATGACATATGGGAGGTGCGTGTAGCTTTTTAAGGAAAAAAGAGCATAATTGTTATACTAATGAATGCACAAGAGTCATTTGGGTGTCTAATTGAAGAGAAAAGCTGTTTTCGACCTTCCATGGAGAATGATCTCAAATTCTAGTCATTTAGACTAAAGGGAAAAATTCTGCAACCATAGATTTTTGTTGAGGCTTTCTAACGTGGTTAATGTCTATCCCTGGGAGAGCTTATCTTCCCTTTACCATCTTACTTAACCATTCCAGTGGCAGTCTAAAAAAAAAAAACAAAACCTTAATTTCTGTGGTAAAGACAATCTTGTGGAAAAGGCCTTATCTCCCTAAAGACACTCAGTTTCTTAAACCACACCCACGTGATTTCCTAGGAGAAAGAAGACATTGGGAAAGAGAAGGAGAGAGAATTAATCCAAGTAAGGAAGCGCTGGCTTTCCATCCTCCCACAGGCAGGCACCCTGTGGCTTGGGGAGGGAGGCGGGAGGGAGGGGTTGGAAGTGCCTCAGGAGTTGCCTGTGGATTTTCTCATTGTCAGAAACTGCCTCTCAATGGCATGACGGGTGTTCAAAGGAATTATGAATCTCAGAGCCACAACATAGGCCTGCCAAGCAGCTCCTGGGTTTGTAGATATGTGCTATTAGCTATCCAGTAAGGAATGAGTCATTAGAAAACATGCAACAATTTTACCTCTGACCGGACTGTCATAAATATATTGGTTGCCCTGTTCTGACGAAATCTCTGACCCAATAAATGCTATCTACCAGTCTTATTTCTGTTCACTAAAGAAGAAAAAAATAGTTGCAGCCAAGTAGACGCTGACTCCTGGGGACCCTGTGTGTCACCCTGGAGTTGTGCTCGGTCACATGTTTGATAGTTGATGTTTCACAGGTTGATTACCAAACATTTCTGCCAAGGTGCCTAGGGAGAGATGCAAACCTCTAACCGTTTTATCAGCAGCTCCCTGTGGTAACTATTTGCACTACCCAGGAAGTCTATATTCTTATAGCAAAACATCATGCCTTCTACTGCTTTTGCGTGCTCACAGCAAGCCTGTGTAGAGTAGAGAGAAGTCCTGCCTGGCCCAGTGTCGTCCTCATCAGTGTTGCTTTCTGTGAGCCCATCTCCACAGCCATGGCGACAACCCTTCTCACTGAGGGTCTTCCTCGTTTGTGCTGACCCTCTGCTTTACGAAGCTGATGTCCTTCTCCAGGGACTGGTCTCTACCGATGACATGTTCTTCTAAGGAGTGTTCTGGCTGTCTTTCTTCTGACACAGATCTATTTGTTCTTCAGGCGGTCTATAGAATATTGACCATTCTTTGATAACATCATAGTTCAAAGCTGTCAATTCCTCTTTGGTCTTCCGTATTCGGTGTCCAGCTGGCACAGATATTATAGTTAGAATAATTTAACAGCAAAGCTAAAAGTCTTATTAGCACTTGTCTTACATAAGAATAAGCGATGCTTTCTGCTGTTAATTTCAGGTATTTACCTAAAAATGTGTTTTTGAAAATGAAACATCAAAATTATGTTATCTGATTATTCATCTTCACATATTAGAGAAATTTTATCGGATGTGTATTGTGAATGTGATGGATGGACCCTTTTTTAAAATTTTAATAAATCATTTTATTGGGGCCTCTTACAGCTCTTATAACAATTCATACATCAATTGTATTTCAAGCACATTTGTACATATGTTGCCATCAACATTTCCAAAAACATTTTCTTTCTACTTGAGCCCTTGGTATCAGCTCCTCCTTTTTTCCCCTCCCTCCACCACCCTCCCACCCTCCTGAACCCTTGATAATCTATAAATTATTTTTATATATTTTGTTATGTTTTATTTCTTTTAAAAATCATTGTGTTGGGGGCTTGTACAACTTTTATCACAATCCATATATACATCCATTGTGTCAAGCACTTTTGTACATTTGTTGCCTTCATCATTCTCAAAACATTTGCTTTCCACTTGAGCCCTTGGTATCAGCTCCTCATCTTTTCCCCTCCCTCCCTATTCTCTCCTCCCTCATGAACCCTTGATAATTTATAAATTATTTTTATTTTATCAT